ACTGGAAAAAATGCACATGGAATCTCCCTTTACTTAGCTCCTGAGGCCAATGATTATGATTCATTAGCTGATATAGCTTTCTCTAGGTTTCTTCAAAACTGACAGCTGACCAAAACCACCAATTCCCCTATTAAACCCTTTATAAGGAAGCTGAATACAATCTATGAAAGGAAAATGAATACTACAATCAATGACAAAAGATCCCTCACCAGGAATCCAGATTTGTTTTAGTGCTAATTTATTGTAGAGGTCCTCCCATTTGTTTGAGGGGGGGGGGGAGCCCCTATTTACTAATCAGGCGCCAACATAAGGGCTTGCCAAAATAATGTCAAACGATGCGACCTTGCCTGGAGGCGTCGAGGCGGCGCAACGTCACAGGTTTGGGCCGGCGTTGCCCCCAATGCACCGACCACAAATCACACTCCAACTCGCGGCCACGCCACGGCGCCGCGAGCGGGCTCCAAGGGCAGCCGCCGCGCCACCTCCAGTCAATACGCCCTTCACAGCACAGCCCGCAGGCAAACCTTTTTTTTGAAAGTAAAGCGACCTTGCCTCAGCGTCACCCCGCTGAATGATGGTGGTCTGGCATCCCTCCCAGTGAGCGTCTGCCATTGGCGTCAGGTCGATGAAGTCTTCGGCCAACAACACATGGGCTCAACAAATCGTGAAACGCAACAGGTGCGGGGCAGGCCTCCGGGTCGTAGCCGTCCTCTTCTCCTAGCAAACGTATGGCTGGCGGCGGCGGCGGGCAAAGACGGTGAAACATGAACCAACACAAGCAAAGAGCCGGCCGGCCACGCCTATGTCGAAGACATAAATGGCAAACTTTTTCAAGGCGGCTTCTTGTGCCTCTTTGGTGGCCGCAAAGAATTCCTGCCAGGAAACGCTTGTATCAGTCAAAGCGATTCAAAGCGCATGTGGAAATTGAAGTAACACGATAACGGATAACGGAAACCTCGTCCACGTCACGCCCGGCCTCACAGAGCCTGCGCCCGTTGTCCGTCTCCTTGTAGCCGGACGGGTCCACGCGGAGAATTTCCGTCAGGAATTTGGCCGACAAAGGAGTCATGAGTTTGGGGACGCGCTCTCGGCGTCCCCTCTCCACAGGCGCCGCCCTCACCGCACCAAGCTCGTCAAAGAAGGCCAGGAGGAACTCTAAAACAGAGTGGGCCCTGTCAGTCCAGTCCAAGAGGGCACGCGTTGGAAAACAATCAATGTAAGTTATTATGTAAGCGCGTGAAAATGCGTTGCCACGGCCTCGGCGCAGCAACGTTCCTGTTGCGGCGGGGGCCCTGCGCACAAGGAGCGGTAAGTCGACACGAACTATACACGCGAAGCGGCGAGGAACTCTGACAGAATCAACGCGCGCAATACGATCGACTGGGCCTCGTTCTCAACAGGGCGGAGGCGGAGCGGTCCACGCATCCCCAACGCCTGTGGCGGACACAGCGTCCGAAGCGAAAGTTGAAACTTGTTGAAGTGGCCGACAAATTAAACTGGGCCTCAGGAAGTGGTAGATCCTCCGTGTCCGTGCTGATGTCCGTCGTGGGCGATCGGGGCCAACGCACCTCACAACGGCCCGTCGTGCAACTATGAGGGTGAATTTGGCAAGGCACTGGGCCGCGCCTGGTCGCTGTGCACTGGCGACGTCGGTGTATAAGACAGCGCTTCCTCCTGCCAAAGTCGGTCTTTTCACGATGGCTCGCGCAAGAATAGATTTCATTTTTTTACTGCAGCGCCTCGTCCTCGCTCAGAAAATCTTGAGTGTGAAAGGAAGGCGATCGCGCGTAGGAAGGAAAGTCCTGCGAAAAGGTTGGCATGCAGAAGCCAGGTTTCACGCAACAATTTAAAACCGCAACTCCCGGCCTCACTGCCCGACGTGTTGCCGTTCATGGCATGCGCCAGCCGGTTTCTCTCCTGCGCAACAGCCCGAATGAAAGTCATCCTTCGTGTCTTTGCTGGTGTCTTTCTTAGTTTCTTGCCCGTTGCCTTTGGTTCGTGGACTAGACCTTCACTTCTCATATTAATAATTGCTCCTTGTTGGCCAAGAAAGCCGGGAGGGCGCAATTGCCGTGAATGGTGTGGGCGAGGCGATTTCGCTCCTGCACTAATTTCAAACCCATGTTTTTGGGCGCTCAAACTTGGAAACAAAGCATTGCGCCCGCCTTCTTGGACAGCACCCCTATGTTGACGTCTCCCTGCAAGTTCACAAGGGTCGGGGCACGCGTAGACTACAAGGGCTTGAAAACGCTCGGGCTTCTGAGGTCCCGGCCCGGAGCCGCTTCCCCCAGCCAAGATTTAAATATTGGCTGGGGGGCACGTCGCTGATGCGTGGACCAGCCCTTGCCTTGCATGCTTTCGCATGAAGGCGGTGTCGGCGGCCTTAAAAGGGGAAAAGGGCTGGTTGGATCAACAAATTGGGCCCGGTGTGTCCAAGAGCCGCGCTGTCCGTGAAGGGGAGGCGGAGGGCGCCACAGGCGACGCAAAAACCGGAGCTGCCTTCGCACAACCAAAAAACGCGTCACAGCGTGTATGTAAACCGTTCTCGCCCTATTGCTTAAACACCAAAACGCGCAAATGTTTTTGCAGTGGGGCCTTGGCAGGCGGAGCGGGTCCTTTGCAAGTCCTTTGCGGCCGCCGCAAGTCCTTTGCAAAGGATTATTACAACAAGTTTAAATAGACAAACTTAAAGTATGTCCAAGCGGCCTCGGGGAACCGTGGTCTTGCAGGTGCCTGCTTCACCTCCCAGGATCCGATCAACAACAGCAGGGACGACAACAAGAACGTTTCATCACAACCGTCCTGCTTCCGGCCTTCGTTCTGCAAGCCCCACGGTTGCCCCTCCGGCGGCGAGGTGCCTGTGTATCAAAGTGTACTCGCGTAACGTCAGACTAAGGAAATGGTTTCCGCTCAGCCTCGTAGAAGGCGATGTAAGCGCTGGCCGGGACCACCTTTAAAGCGTGCATGTCTGCGAGCCGACGTGCGTGAGCTTTTCATTTTACAACACTTAAAGTTGAGAGCCGCGCAGAGATCCACTTCTTGCGCCGTCGCCTGGACCCAATGTTCGGAGGACCCACATGGTCTGGGTGCATGTGAGGACCGCAAGACCCATCAACTGGCGGCTGGGTTTGGCTCGTTCGCTTCTTCCAGGGTCGGGCCGCCGTGGGTTCGGTCCTCCTAAGCTTTTGATACCCACCATGGAGCACAAGCGGTGTTTCACCGTGAAATCCCAAAGAGCTGTTGATCTCCCCAGTTCAATACACCACACACCTCACACCTCACCTCACCCCCTTGCCGGTTCACCAACACGGCAGAACCTCCACTTCCCGCCGCAGCTGGTGCTTCTTCCGCTCCCAGAGCTCTTGACGGCCTCGGGTCTTCGTTCGAACGGACCCAAGGAACCGAAGCGTCGAAGGAAGCGTCGAAGGAAGCGTGGAAGATGAGCTTCGTTCGTTTTGTTTTGGCACTATGACTCACGTTCCATGGTTACGTGGATGGCACCCCCTGTTTGTAAAGGAAAGTAGTCTTCCAAGGGGCCATGCCATTCACTTCCATGTTAGTGAGTCATAGTGTACCCCGTGGTTCTGCCATAGGGGAAAAAGACGTCTCAGAAGCCGAAGACTGACAGTCGAGCTCCGAACACAGAAGTCCTCAGCTCCAGAAATGCATCTTCCCAACAAGGGCCAGAACCTCAAACTCTCTGCGTCAGGCCATCTGGTCAAAGGTTCCTTACAGCCAGCCTTACTAAAGGCCCCACGTGAAGACCAAAAACACATCTGAGACATCCCCTGAAACCTCCCAATAAAAGCTCTCGCAATAGAATAGTGTGTGAAAAATCCCCATCAACGACCTGGAGTCTCAAAGTACCTCAGAAAATGGTTACCACTTCACCCTCTTCGATGATTTCTTCCCCATCTTCAAGCTCCCCATTCTTCTTCCCCATCCTCCGCACTCCGGGCTCCCCTCACGCGCCGCAGGGACCACCGAGACGACCTCCGAGCGCCAAAAAGCAGCCACGGCGAGAGGAGTGTCTCTGGGATGCCGAAATCGTGAGCGGTGCGCTGCCGCGAAAAAGGATTAATTGATTGCAGTTGCGGCAGGCAAGAACCAATCTAGCGCCACCCACACCTCAACTAAGCTTCCGAAGCTTTCAACACCCATTCTAACACAGGTTGAGCTAACCGATGGAGAATGACTGAGGGTTCCCTGAAAATTCAAAACCTACAGGAGCTTGAAGGAGCGACGCTCTACCACGACAAGTTCATGCTGTGTTTCCATTTCCATGGCGCACCAGGGTCTCTCAGCTTCGCCACTGTAGCTAGGGTCCACAGCGAGGCACCTAGCTAGAGGAATAACTTGCTAGAAAAGCGAACTGGTGGAGCATGAAGAGGAACAGTATGTCCCCGATAGTTCCACCGAGCATGACTGAGCATGAAGGGGATTTGTTTACCAAAGATACCGGATGATAAGACATCTGATGAGACCGTGTTCCTATATTGGGCAAACGGAGATGTTCACAAATATCTATTCATGTGTGGTGTCCTGGAAGTCCGCGTCAAGACAGAACCTGGTTCTTGATTTCTGCGTGTGGCATTTCTGGCATTGACCAGGTTGGGTAACTATTTTCCCACAGCCAGGGCAAACAAAAATCACTGCTCCTAGCCGCTCCTGCTCATGGTCAACACTTAAAAAGGTCATCTCCTGAAAACAAAATGAGTATACCGCTGGTTCCTTCGCTGATGGATGGGTATATAGAACTGTACATCATCCGAACAGGATCATGTTCATCAGCCGCACTATGGCACCAAACTTCTTGGACCCCAAAAGACGTCGAAACTTGTCTTTGCAAAACAGCTTCATCAACACGGTGGTATACCAGAAAAACAAGGGCGCTTATATCACACCGGGGGGGGGATATGATGGTTATTTGGATTTTACTTGTCCTAGACAATCCATGAGTTTCCAGAGTATCCATCTACTTGCGCTCCTAGGCAAAGAGTTCAAACCTCTTCATAGGCTTTCATACATGTGCCCTGGGACCCACGCCTTCCGTGGACTTCGGTCGTGGCTCATCCTCAGTTCAAGGCACAAAAGGCCCTGCGTCTTGCAGCGAAAAACAAAATAATGTCATCCCAACACACCTAATGTATATAGACGTTGGGCCTATCCTGTTACCAGTACCAGTGGATGATGATGATTAGGGTGTAGGCCTTGTTCAAAAATAGGACAGACCGACCCAATGTAGACTCTTGATTCTCTAGATCTTGATTGATTCATTAAACCCCCCCAGACATAGATTGTAAAAACTCTTGGTTCTCGGAGCCCTGATTAGCACCTGATGTCCCAAAGCCGTGCACCAAAGCCACAGACCCTGACGATCCCTCGAGATTTCGTGACGATTGCACCGATACCAGGCCATAAAACCCAAGACAAAGACACAAATGTCCCAACAAAGCAAACACGAAACAAGAACCATGCCAAATAAACCAAAACTGAGATATCTCAATAAGTCTTAGCTTCTTATATAGCTATTATAATTCACTAGTTTCCTGGTGGCATTTTTCAGACCCCCCGTTGCGCCACATGCCCCCACGCTCCGTCCACGCTCCGCTCCACGCTCCGCTCGTCACTCGTCTCGTTGTGCGCTTCGTCCGAGCTTCGGCGGAGCCGGGGGCGGCTTCGGCGCCACGAGATCCTTCCGCGGACGGCGACCGCGGAGGTCTGTCCGAGTCGTCTCGCGGTGGCGAGACGACTCAAATCCAGACTGCCGAAGGGTGAACGAAAGCCAGTAGAAACCAGCCTGCAGGACCGGGTTTGGTATATAAATATATTCTGTTTGGTCTGTAACCTCAAGTTTCTCTTGCTTTTAGTGGATTGGAAGGTTATTGCAATACAGCTTGCCATCCACAAACACCTTGCTGATGCAAAACGATGCCGCTATATTCCAACGGATGCAGAAAAATGGTACATGTTCCCGCCATCGAAAGGGATGCGCTACACAAACAGGTTCCGGAGACTCCCCCCTTACCAGCCTGTTATTTGTATTTCTAGCTGGACCTTCTTTCGGGGTGTCCTGTCGATCCCTGCAAGTCGTGGGCGTAGGGGCGAGCGAAACCAGCCAGGTGACCCCGTGTCCAGGCAGGTGCAGCTCTGGGCCATCTGGGTGTTTTCCGCCGACCTCCACTGGTCTCCAGTGACCGGTGGACCGCTCTCCTCCATGTCAATCCCCAGGACCTCAAGGACCGCCGACGCGGACGCGGACGTCGCGGACGCGAGCCGGGCCCCATGGAGGTGACACGGCCGGACCGGCCCCCGGAGGGGTTTGGGAGGAGGAACAGGATCCAAAAGACTGGTCCTCCTTTAAGATTCTTTTGGGGGGGAAGAATGAGATTGAAACAGACTTGGATTCTGGATGATGGGAAATTCGAAGTAGGTCGACGAGAGAACCAACAGAATCTGTGGGGCTCTCTACTTGAGACGGTCTGTCTTTTCGCCAGCAAGAGCTTCTTTGCACGTCGTGCAAACACGTCTGTCTCCGAATTCTCAGCCCCCGCCTCACCATCCCGGATTTGCTTAAGGAACCTGGAATCTAAGAGCTTAATATTCCTCAGAAGGGGATTTACCCATAGGGTAAATAAAGAAATCACCTGATCCGCAAAAACCGGCCTAAACCGACTCTCCAAACTGAACTGGCGAACCAAGATCAATGTCAACACACTGCAACACACACTACTACAATCACACATACACTACCACATACACGTACACACACATCCACACATGCGCACCCCAACAAAAAAAGAGAGAGAGAGAGAGCACCACCTGCCAGTGGCCCCCCCTGCTTCCTCCCTGCTTCCTCCTTCGTCCCACCTGCATGGCCACGATCATCCGCGGGTCATCCAGGCTCAACCGCTGCGAGGCTTCCGGCACCTTCGCGACGCGCCAGGCTCGCGCGAGGTCGACCCCCGATGAGTCCGGGCGCAGCAGGGAGGGGAGAGGGGCGCAGGCGCCCAGGTTGGCTCCCGGTGCATCATCGGGGGGGGGGGTCCGCTGAGTGGCCAGAAATGTGCCGGAAGGGAATGAGAATGGGAACTAGAGATGGAAGGGGCAACTCGAAAGGATGGCGTCTCTTTCTTCGGGTCCGTTCGGGTCTTTGTCTTAGAGCTTTTCGAAAGGAATGTTTCTGAAAACTGGACGTGGACAGCTAAGCAACCCTGGACCCCAAAGTAGCACTCCCTGAAAACCTATACAGAATGCAGAATGTGTGAAATTCCAAGGACATGGAAGCTGTTGGAGACCACGGAGAATGCCCCGCCCAAGTAATGGTATATATATACAAACAGAACATCTTGGGACCAGCTGCATGAAATGCACAGCACCCACGCCCATGCCCACACGTCGTCATCCTTATGACAACGTTCACCTTACATGGACCGCACCTTCACCCAGACCGGTCCGGAACCCGGGCGAAGGCCGGCGAACCCGGCGTGAACCACGGGCGCCGGAGGTTTCGCCATTTCGCCTCGCCTCCCGGCTCGCTCGCCGGCTTCGGAACCCCAGCCTCCTCGCTTTGGGGATTGGCGCTCATGGACATGGCCTTCAACAACGTGGGAGGATCGCCTTAGGCTCCGTGCCACCAGCCGTCGACCGTCTGCGGACCCACGGTCGTGGTCGGCGTGGAGAAGGACGTTGCCCACGGTCGCCGTCTGTTGAAGGGGCTTCAGTTTGGAGGATCGGTTTCAGAAAGTGGTGCAAGGTATCCTGCAAAGTACACACTTTTCGCCCACAAGTTTTGGTTTCAGAAACACCCCAGCTTGGAGACACCCCAGCTTGGAGATGTGCCCACAACTGCTTCCTCAAACACGTCGAAAACGAGACGGAGTCCAACATCCAGTACGGACCAATTTGATGCGACCAGACCACCGGTCCGACTGGTTGGCGGACCACTCAAAGGTGCCGGGAGCAAAGGGCCAAAGAGAACGACCTGCTGACCTGGCCAGGACCTTCCCAGTCACCTCTTCAGGATTGGCGAGTGACCTCATTCTGTGGCGGCCTCAGCCACTTGAAATCTCAAGGCACGGTCACTGGGAAGGCCCTGGCACTGGCAGGTCGTTCGCATTTGTTACAAATGCGAACGACCCGGTGTTCGACCTCGATATCCCAAACACCACGACGTCCATGGGACTGACATAGTACTGCTGCCGATCAGGGGTCAGGGGTGGTTGTGTCTGGGGTGAATGGGGCGGCACAGACGTCAGACATGGAGTGTCATGGATATTTCTAATTGTTTGCATGTAAACAGATGCACTCTGAATCTCTGAATGGCAGATTTATCGCTGTCGGTGTCATTTTGCCAGTCAGACAAGAGGTTTTTCGGGATTCAGACCCTTCAATCTCATGTAAAAAAACAAAATCAGGAAGCTAGAACTGCAAAAAGGGATTGAAGATATTGGAAAGTGATCTAACTCCACAGGCCATGCCATCCACGCAACCATGCTTCTTTCACGGAGTCTATGCACCTGCACCACGCCACCTGCCATGTACCTGGCATCCCTGTTTGGGGCGCTGCAGCAGTCGACTCCCCTGCATCCCTCTTCCTGGGCCCTCCAGCTTTGCGCGTTCGGGGAGGCCACCGAAGTCATGACGCCTCGACGTCGCCCGTCGGGTCCGCCGGGTCGAGGATCGGGGCGATGGAAAACGGTGCCTGGACCTGCAAATCTACCTTTGAAGCAGCTCCAATGCAACTTCCCGGCTGGAGACCAATTGAAATACACCTTAGTATAGTCCAAAAAACCAAAAAAAAAAAATTGCGGGTACACATACTATCTAGTACCGGACTCTGTAGGTACCCACCGGCAACCCTTGTAAGCCTGTACCTGACTGATATGTTGTGTTCGTTCTGAACTTTTTTGGCCATACAGGAAAAACCAAACATCAAGCACGTCCATTCGAACTCCCACCCTAGGCCCCTAGGCCCCTATAGGCCCCTAGGCCGGACACCACCCTAGCAGCAGTCCACTATGTCAGAACGCTTCAGTCTAACGCCAAGATCCGGAAATCAGCTGTCCCGGGAGACCGGGTGGAGAGCTCCTTGGACTTTGGGACAGTCTTCGCCCAAGGTCCCGCCCAACCCACCCGTTCGTCAGACACGCCTCCGCCGGCCGGTGAAGGGGGGCAGCAGCTAGCTCGCTCGCTCGCGACGCTACAGCCACGCGAGCATGGAAGAGGTGCTGAACTCCTGGAACTTGGAAGAAGTGTCGCTCACTCTTTACCCACTTGATCTGCTTGAACACAAACACCCACTCCGCCATCGACCTGAGACCGCTGGTTCCGAACAGGACTTCTCCTGAAAAACCGGTCACCATCCATCGACAGCGCGTTCGTCCGCTGCGAGCCACATCGCTGCGACGTGCGGACGATGTGGATCGCAGAGCGGCGGCGAGTGTCTGGCGCACGAGAAGACGAGTGACCCATGACCCGAAAAGGACCCCAAGGAGGAGCTGCTCCGGTTGGCTTGCATTTGTTGCCCCTAAAAGACTCGGTTCAGAACTGGAAGAACGGGGTTTCAGCGCTGCAAAAACTGCCGTTCGGAAGAAAGAAAAAAGAACCAATGCCATGGTTCTAGTTCTACTGTGTTGTTTCGTCATCGTCGCATGGAAAAACACAGACCCTTCAGGGCCAGATCTCATGACAGAAGACCCTCCGTCCTCTGTCCTCGCGCGCGCGGCGGCGCGCGGCGTCAGTCCCACGATGTCTCGATGATCGCTCCACCGAGGGCGAACGGAGACGGAGAGATTGGGCGGTCTGGTCTGTACCCATCCTGCAGTGATCAACAGCAGCAAGGCCCTTAGAGCTCTAAAAGGCCGGGCCCTTTGGAGTTGATGCGAAGAGCATAGAACAATGGATGAAGCATGAAGAAGCTGCAAAAGAACCATACAGCTTCAGGGCAATAGGGCCCCATAGGTGACTTTTTTGTAGTCTCCAGACTCCAGACAAAGAATGTATCACAGCGATCTCCTTCAGTTTGGCAGACCAACGATCTCCTTCTTACACCATCCCAAATCTTCCCCCATACCAAGCTGGTGTACTTTTCATCACCAAGCTCCGCTTGAGTTTGGTTGGGAGGAGGCCGTCTTAGCCTCACCCTCTGTGTTGAACGGGACCCCCCGCTCGTGCTTAGCTGCAAGGACATCCATGTTGACAGCAGATCAGACTGCAAACCTGAACCCACTGGTTTAAAAAGGGCAAAAAAGTAGTCAAGCCCAGCGGTCTGGAGTTCCTTGTTGTGCTTAGCTACTCTTGAACTCATAAGGAAAATTAAGAACTCTTCTACTGCTGAGACACAGCATTTCAAACTTCCCACTGTGCTAGGAACCCAAGGTCCTTCTCCTGCAAGGGATCCCATATGATTTTTCTCTAGTAACAAGGGCATTACTACTAGTAGCAAATAGCTACTAGTAGCTTCTAGCTGCTAGCTACTAGTAGTAGTAATGCCCTTGTTACTAGTAGCGATGCCCTTGTTCAAAGTAGTTTCTTGTTACTCAAAAAAAGGTACCACCCGGAACTCCCCTTCGCCGCTGTCCTCGACGAGACCAACCGAGACCAAACTTTCCATGACGAGACCGACCATGAAGGTTTGTTCATGAGAGGGTCAAAGCGACGCAGACCGACCTTTCATGTGTTTGTTTCCAATGTTTTTTCCATGATACCTGAAAAAGCCTGCTTGGGTTTGTTCATGTAGCCCATTGACACTCCGGAACCTGCACTTCACAGGTTTCAGGGAGTTCGTCCCCTCTTTTGGTTTTCGGAAAGGCGTCCTATCTAACACCCCAATCCACTGCAACACATGGTTTCTGTGTTTGTCAGAGAGTGCCATCCTTCACTGCGACAAGTCGCGAGAGGACATCGCAGGGAGTCTCCGAACAAATTGTCACATCGAACGAACAAAGTGTGGTTGCCGTCAATGCGGAGGGCGTCTGCCTCTCTGCAGAAACATCTCAAAGAATCCAGTCTTGAGTGAGCCATGCTCCGTGCAGAAACTCCAATGGCTAGTTCCTCTGGGTGCTCTTTTTGTGCTTGGTGAACCTCCGCTTTTCGAACAGGGACTTTCCTATATATGCTCAAATGAAAAGCAACCTGAAGAGAAATCCACTTCTATCTCCTTCTCCTCCTCCTCCTCCTCCTGCTCCTCCTCCTCCTCTTCCGTTTGCGTCGACTGCTTGGAACCAGCGAAACCACCCCTTCGAACCCAGAAACCGCACTCCGCATCAACAGGCCACGGGTGACACCGGAGGGCTTGCCTCCGCGGCCACTCAACCAGCCCCGTGAGGAGCCGGATCGATGCGCGGAAGTCGGGGAGAGATCGTCGTTCTGCAAACTGAAGTCCAAACATGTTCGCAGAAGCAACAGGTTTGCAACACTGAATACCTTGCTGCAGTCGTCGAAAAGCTGCGTTGGGCGAAAGAAGAGCGACCTGTTCTAAAGTTGGGTTTCTAGATGTTTGTGTGAAAAAGGAAAGGTTTGAGAAGGAACATCGAAAGGTCTGTACCCCATCGAAAGGTCTGTGCCGCCCCAGTCTGTGGGGTGTTCCAGCGACCTTCCTTCCCCCCTTCCGAAAAAGCAACACCTTCTTCCCAGGTCTTTGGCGAGCAGACGTGCAAAACCACTTCATTTCTGGAGGCCCCGTTCCGAACGGCTTCACCTCTAAGGAGGGCCCATGTTGGTTCACACCTCCCTGTCCGGAGGGTCCTGGGAGTTGGGGTGGAACCGACCTAACCGACCTGTTGGACTCCAGCCAAGACTCGACTCGACCTGACCAGTTTCTCCTTTCGTCGTCTCCGACCTGATGGCTTTTTGGGCGGCTTGTTTGGGCGGCTTGGATTCTTCGATGGGTTGGAGACGGAGGTTTCGGCGGTATGTCCACATCGCTGGTTTGGGGGAATGCAATGCACCTTCAGATCGATTTCCACACTGTCCGAATCTGCAGTCACCTTTAAAAGACCATAAATTGTTGAACGATCCTGTCTAGCTGCATGACTGCTAGTGTCTGCCCATGTCTGCCCTTCAGGGCGGGGTGCCCCTCAAATCCCATCTCCCCAACGGCAGGCAGCGCAGCTCCTCACCTTTGCAAGTTGCAATCAACCCCAGCACACACAGGTGGCACAGGCTGGGGGAAGGCACCCGCCCAAGGGCCGCGTGTTGAGATGAGGGAAGCACTGTCGACCCAGGTCTAGTCTGACCCTGGTTCAGCCTCATCGAGTAGCGAGGAAGTGTTTGATCAACTCCAGTGAAATGAGGTCACTCCCTGACCTGTAGGGCATTCGAATCCTGCTCGTGAATCACGCCCTACTCGAATCCTGCATCGTGCACGGTTTGGTGACTGTTGCGGCCCCCATTCTGAATTCACCCCTGGGTGTTGACCATCCCTCACACCGGATAGAGAGGATAGAATTCTTCATAATGTGTATATATATATATCCTGCAGATTCATGACAACTACAGTGGCCCTCCCTCATGACTAGAGGGCATCACAGTGTCGTTTGTCTCAATCCGTCTTCGAAGACTCCTCAGACTCTTCTTGTCACCGAATGGCATCCCTTCTTCAAATTTGTCCAGTGTGTTACCATCACGTTTCAGCTTCTTTTGCTGAAACTTAAAATGAACAGAGATGAACTGCGGCCCTTCGCGGAGCGTCAGAACCCTAAAACAACACGTGAACAGTCGCAGCAGTCATGCACGGCAGCTCAGTTTCTTTTTAATGCGCCTGTCCGTGGAGAATAGGGGACGACTAGGGGGCAAGAAGTGCTTTCGAAAGGTTCTCACCTTCGTGGCGCTGCGGTGCCGCTCCCGGGCGTTCGTCGGTCGCGAATCCCTTGGATCGGTGGGGTGGCACGTCTGGTGCGGTGTCTTGTGCTTGGCCGGGGTGAAACACGGTGCACTCTACTATATAGGAGGTTTTGGGGTTCGGGTTCGGTTGAGTCTTCGATGTTGAAAAGATCAGACATCAAGAGTGAGCAGTATATCACCAGATTGATATTTGATATTGATGTTTGACATTTACACAAGGGATCAGAGCATCAATAGCTCTTGATATCATTATGTTTGACGTCAATAGTGCCCAAGATATCCCCTCACCACTGGAAGTCACGAAGCAAATAGAAGTTATTGCATGTGTTTTTCTTCCCATATTTCGAAAGTAGGTTCTAGAAAAATGTCGTTCGCATCACTCAATCTCCCCCCTCCCCCCTCCTGAGAGGGCACGGCGGTCAACCCCAGCCTCTCGGCAGGAAGCTGTTCATACCTCGAGAAGCAAGCGACGTCTGGTGCCGAGGGGAGGAATTAGCGTTGAAGAAGGCCAAAGATGTCAATGAAGCCGAGGCCGAGTCGAGGTGTCCATTGGACCCCAGATCGGTTGGCCCGTTTTGCCGGCCACTTAAAGAAGGTCGATGTTGGTCGTAAAGGAACAGCCCTGCAGCACCAAGCCCTGCATCACCAGGTTGAAAATTCAGAGAGGTTGGGTGACCTGATTTGTAGGACCCGTCATCTGGAAGAACTATGGGATAGTCGACCTAGGGTTCAGAACAACCTCTGTTGGTTGTTTGTGCGTAGCCCTCGAGGTCCTGCAAAGACACGTTCCAAAATC